CTGCTCTTAAAAAGTCTTAATTTGCACTTCCACAAATTAAGGCCTTGAAGGGATAGTTCACCCAAAGTTCTGTCATCATTTATTTAACGTCAAATTGTTTTTCTTCTGTTGAACATGAAATAAGATATTTTGAAGAATGTGGGCAACCAAACTTGTCTCCATTGACTTCCATAGCATGAAAAAATATTATGGAAATCAATGGGGATCAGAAATATTCAAAATATCATCTTTTGTGTTCAGCAGAAGAAAGTTACAGAAATAATGAATATCTTTATCAGTATTTTTGTCTTACTGTACAAACATCCTTGAATCAAGATGCAAAATGAACATCTGACGACTTGTTTTTTTTTTTTGAGAAATTGAATACAAGTGAATTTATGCTTGAAACATTAACAAATATCTGTCAATGGGATATGAAAACTTGTTTTCCCTTTGAATGAAGTTGATTTTTCTGAGCCTATTGGGAGATAATTTTTTTTTAAATCATAAATTCACTTAAATAATAAATAGTGAAATCATTCACATAAATGCACTTTTCATAAATCAAGACTTCTCATGTAATTTTGGCATCTATCTTAATTTAAGAATTTTGTATCCATTTGCACTGAAAAACAAGACGAAGATACAGAGGAAGAACATTACTTTGTGCAGTGTGATCAGAAGGTACACTGTAAAAAATGACCGTGAATTTAACGGTAAAAGACTGTAAAAATGCTACAGTAAAAACCTGTTAAATGGTTAACGGTAAATTCCCCTACTATATAAGGTGAAAAACTGTATTGGACATTACATGTATTGGACATTAATTTTACGGTAGTATACCGTTTTTGGAAGTGAAAAAGACCGTATAATTTACAGTTAATGGCCGTAAATTGACATTCCCAGAATTCCCTGCGTTACTATTATGATTTTATGTTTTTTTGTTGAAATAACTATGTTTCTTCTTAGTTTTTTCTTATCAGTTTTGTATATTAGGGTTGTGTGTTACACCTAATGTTGTTAAATGAATGTTTATTGCATTATTTCAGTTTCATGTGTGTTACCATTCTGGTGTTTAGTGTTTGTGTGAATGACACTGTGCACCTTCTATATATGTTATTATCTAAAAGCTGCTTGTGATGGGCTTTGGTTCATCATGTGACTTTCTCATCACCACCTGCATTCGGTGGTTATCAGTGTATTACAAAGGTACAAAACAGATTTCAGTACTTAAATAGGTTGGTATATTAACATTATATCAGTATTTAACTGTAAATTTAAGTTAAAAATTAAATTTTTTACGGTAAAATTCTGGCAACCACAGCTGCCGGTTTTTTACCGTATATTTTATGGATTTTTTTTTACAGTGTACAGTAAAAGTTATTTCCATATTTTAATTAAGCTACTTTTTTTTTTTTTTTAAGTTGTATTTTCAAAATTCACTGTTAACTCATTATGTTCTGTTTCAACATCTACGTGTAGAGAACATATTGTGTTCCCTTTGATTGATTCCTTTTTTCTTTTCTTTTTTTGGTTTAAAAAAGTTCCTAAGAGTCTTAAATTTACCTTCATAATACTTGCATAAACCGTGTTTTAAGATATTTAAGATCCCCTGCTCATGGGTTAGCTTACTGATCATGCATCAAAAACAGAATTAGTTAAAAAACGCACTGTAATTTCTCCATCCGAAAGGGTGTTTTTACATTCTCTACAGGATTTGCGAGAAGGTATCTGAGGGACGCCGTAGAAAACGGGGGCAGAGAGAACGGGCTCTTCATTCATTTTCATCACCAATCAGCACACTGCCTCCTAAATAATGCATTGATCTCTGGGCTTGCTGTTAATTCCCCTGTTATCAAGATGTGCAAAGTGGACGTGGCAGTGCTTGATGGATGAGAGGTACAGGCCAGCTGTCTATTTGCTTTGACAGACATATCCCCACTGCAGTGGAAGCAGGCAACCTTTGAGTATCAACGTCTTATCTGTCTTTCAAAGTGGAGCCGAGGACAGTGGCTCATTAAACCACAAGCAGTGCTTTTCAAAAACAACTTACAAGTTATAATAGCAATTTAAAGCTCTTTCCTGGCAGATGCAAAGTTATTGCACTCTTTAAGCAAAAGGGGAGTATAAATATTCACTTATCTTTATAGACAGCTGTATTCTGTACCCATCTGATATCATGAGAAGTAATGACTGAGTGAGCATTATGGTTGAGACTAATGAATATCATTTCCTTGATGTATTTTTAAATGAAATAGTACGCATACTTCCTATATAGTATGCAAAAAAAATGCTTCAGTGTGCAACCAATGAGAACTTTTCTGTCCCATGAGGCCAAGAACTGAGGAGTGTCAGATTCAAAGATAGAATAATGAAACATTCAAAAAGTTTGGGGTTGGTATGAATTTTGTTAACATTTTTGAAAGAGGTCTCTTATGCTCACCAAGGCTGCATTTATTTGTTTTAAAACATAGGGAAACAATATTATTGTGAAATGTTATTACAATTTAAAAGGACTGATTTCTATTGCAATATATTTTATGATTTTTTTTTTTCTTCTTGTGATGGCAAAGCTGACTTATAGGCATCATTACTCCAGTCTTCAGTGTCACGTGATCCTTCAGAAATCAATATGCTGATTTGGTGCTTAAGAAACATTTCTTATTAGTAGCCGTGTTAAAGTTGCATTCTTTGCATTTATTTATAATTTTCATAGATTTATTTTTCAAACGATGCAAAAGTCTTTACTGTCACTTTTTATCAATTTAGTGCATCCTTGCTAAACAAAAGTATTAATTTCTTCCAAAAAAGACTCCAAATTGAAACGTAATAAATAAATTATGATGGAGAACCATCATACCAGGCTAACCATCAGTAGCCTCACGCAGGCTACTATTTTAAAGTGTTAAAGTGCTTATATGGGGTTAAACTGTGCTTATTAAACAACACTAACCAATCTTTTTTTTTGTGGTTAATTTAGTCACTTATTAGCAATATATTTGCATAACGATGACCTGAGAGCTAACAGACTTGGACTAAAAACCACAAAACTTTAATTTGATTTTAATGGGGTCATAACATTTTTCAGATCATCCCTACGTCTCTAAACATGAAAGAAAGATAGCTACACACAATATACAGAGACAAATTAAAACAACTGGTTTAGTGCCTCATTTGATTACAGGTATGACATCAATACATGCTTTTGTTTTGTGTATATATATATATATATATATCAGATTAAAAGACACCAGAATGTAGAAACTGACATCTTCAAACCCTTCCATCATTTTGCATTCAATATTACTTCATGTTCTGTGTGCACACAATAGGATGAATGCTGACGATGTAATTACTGAAGAGAGCTCAGATGTGGTGAAGTTGGGTCCTCTGCTGGCCACAGACTGAAGCTACAACTCAATTCTGTTTCTGTTGATTTTTGTTTATTTTCAGTTTTATTGATTCACATTTGAGATTCTTACAACAATTATCAAACAAGTATCAGGAATTATATCTTCTAATAACTCAGCTGGTTTCTTAGACAGCAATTCGATTAGGAGGGAGATCAAATTGAGACTTTTGCTTAAGTCTCAGTGCTTCTCAAACGTTTTGCCTTAGAAAATAAAGAAATAAATAATGGGAGAAAGAGTAAAAGAAAGTACTCCACAGGAGTTCTCATGAGTTTCAGAAGAGAAGTCAAAAACGGTTCAGATTTGTCAAGATACCAAATTCAGTTTCATGTCAACAATTGACTTATTTGTGTCTATATTTTGAGGAGTTTTATGAGAAACAAAATAGCATCAAGAAGACTTCCCTCAAGTCTCTTGTGCTATGAAAGAGCAATCTCTAATAATATTGTCTTCTGGCATTTCATCTTCACTTGTTTACTGTGAAAGGCATTCATAGGCCTTAATATGCTCACAATGATAATGCATATATCTAAAAATGTATCATTTTATTATATATTTATTTGTAAATATCAAATGGTTGTTATAGCTTTCTAAAGCCCAGTAATAAACAAAACATGATTTTTTTAAAAGTCAGCTATATTTTCACATAATTATATTATATTATATTATATAAGAATAAATTATGATGGAGAACCGTTAGGCAGGCTACTATTTTAAAGTGTTAAAGTGCTTATATGGGGTTAAACTGTGTTTATTAAACAACACTAACCAATCATTTTTTTGCGGTTTTTGTTAGTAAGTCACGCGACAGAGAACATACAGGTCAGCCATGCTTACAGTTAATTTAGTCACTTATTAGCAAGCAATATATTTGCATAACGATGACCTGAGAGCTAACAGACTTGGACTAAAAACCGCAAAACTTTAATTTGATTTTAATATTAATTAAATTGTGATTTCATATAAATATTAATTAAATATTAATATTAATTAAATTGTGAAATTTAATCAAATATTAATTAATTAAATAAATACACATAATTATATATTATATTATTTTATATATTATAATTATTTTGTGGGGATTTATATAATATAAGATAAGGTAATATAAGATAAGATAAGATCATGTCAAAAATATAAATGTCTGATAAAAAAATCTAAACCTTTGTTTCAGTCACGTATTTAACAAAATTGTGTTGTATTAATTATTAAATATTTAATTAATAAATATTAATTATATTATATTATTTTTGTGGGGATTTATATAATATAATATAATATTCTTTCCACTTTTGCTTACATTGTCAATGTGTTATTTTCACCGTGTGGGGGCGACAGTACTGCAGAAATCACACACTTCCACTCACCATCATCATCTACTGCTGGCCTGTGTGTGTGTGTGTGTGTGTGTGTGTGTGTGTGTGTGCGTGTGTGTC